AGCACTTGCCCTGGGATAGCCGACATCGGTCCCGGAAGTGCCGGTTGCGGTGGCACTTAGGGTTGTTGTTGCGGGACTGGGGGTTGCATTTGTAATCCATGAGTTGCCACCAAGTTGGCAATCCGCAAGTCCATCATTTGTGGCAGTGCGTCGAAAATGTCGCCCACCGTCCGCATGAGTTGTTGTACTGACTTCTCAAGATCTTCTATTTGGTCGTCTCGGGGGTCATAGCTCCTTTCAGCTGAGTCTCTTTCCCCTCTCTGAATTTCTCTCTCCGCTGCCCACATCTCGTCTTCCCTTCGAGATGTTCTCTCCGGACGCCCGGTGTCCTTTCCTGGGTACATCCCTCTGTCATACAGGCTTTCTCGTAGAGCACTGCCTCTGTGAGAAAAAGTTTCTTTAGTCCCTTTTGAGTCAAACAGAGACAAGTCGTCCCACTGCTCCGCATCTCCCGGTCCCCACTTCGACGGGGTAGGCGGCGGCCATGGAAGATATGCCCCGCGTGGGATCGCTCCCCGACGGCCCCTGGTAGTCCCGAGGTAGTCACTGGCGCTTCGGCAGCCGTCGTGACTAAAGGAGCGGACGTAACCGGAGTTGCCTCCGTGGTTGGTGGTTTCTCCTCCTTCCCACTCATGACAGCCGTCAGATTTGGGATGATAGAGAAAAAAAAGATTCCTAACAAAATGTTGGATCCCCAGGCATTCGAAATAACTCCACGTTTGGATCAAAGTAAGGTTTATTTCAAAGCGATGGTTCACACAGGAACAAGGACATTGTTAGGAATAACTGCTAATACACATGAGCAACATAATAAAGAGATTTGAACCAGGTGAGGGCCAATGAGCCCAGTTCCCGCTGGCGGGAATAGAACTTAGAAACGTGCGCCCATTTCATGGGAACATAACAGTTCTACACAATCTACACAGGTTCAGTTCACAGGCTAGATACCCATAACAAGCCGAGCGAAGCACCAACTCCCACCACCAGCTGCATGACCTTGGCCAGTTCCGCAAAGTACAGAGTAAGCATAAGGAAACAAGAGAACCAGGGGGGGGAAGGTTACAAGAAGCGTTAAGCAGGTAACACCAGATACAATGGCAGCTAGCTGACAGATACAGAGATTGGAATGTGTTGTGCAGAAAGCTCTCTTATCAGCACCTCACGGTGCGCTCATGGCTCAGCAGCCCGTGCATTCTGCACTCTGGTTCCCAATTTCCCTGCAGGAGCAGTGGACTCTGGGTTTGCCTCACGGAAAAAACTGTTCCTACAATACAGATTGATGTCCATCCAAGAGGAGTAGTGGAGTCAAACCTTGCTGAAAACTGCTAATACTGAGCCAGTATTTTAGGGAGGCAAGGCACACCTTGGCTGCCACTCTGACAGTGCCGGTCTCCAACATGTAACAAGGCATTTGGTATGCAATGGAGGGACTTGTAATGCTGCTCTTAGAAATTTTGATTGAACACGCTCAAGAGGGGCAAAAGAAGATGATGTTGGCTCTATTGTTGTTCTGTGCAAACGTTGGGCCAAGGTTTTGGCCTGGAAGAGTTTTAGGGCAGCAGGGATGTACTGTCCACCCTTAGTTGGAAGAAATCTAACTATATATCTGCTGCGTGGGCAAAGTGTGCTTTTCTTGAGCCGGAAGCATGGAATACTGCACCAAGTTATTTGGAGGTCTGCACCAGTTCAATAAAATGGCCATCAATGGTCCAGGTTCTAGACTTCTGTTTCTTACCGAAGGCCATTATCTTTCTTTTTTGAAAGTTTATTTAAAGAAAGTCTTCTTTGCAATGCTCTACTAGTGCCGTTAGGGCTCTTCTTAGCCCAACTGGGGTCCTTAACAGAATATCTGCATCATCTGCCTATAAGAAGAGATCGGACGATGCTGTAGTATAGGAGAATGAAAGGTCTGATCACTTAAGCGTTTGACCAAGTCATTTATATAAAACTTGAAGACAGCCTGAGTTCCCTGTACAGACTCCAACCACCCACAGGAAAAAACCCTAATGGGCTTGAGGATCCCTGGTAGTGTCCTGGATCCCCCCAATTTCCGTACAGGTTCTAAGATGTTCTTGAAGAGGGCTGCTGCTACTGAATCTCTTTCCACACTCAGAACATTCAAAAGGTTTCTCCCCTGTGTGGGTTCTTAGATGTTTTTGAAGACTGCTACTATGACTGAATTTCTTTGCACATTCTGAGCATTCAAAAGGCTTCTCCCCTGTGTGGGTTCTTAGATGTTTTTGAAGACTGCTACTATGACTGAATTTCTTTGCACATTCTGAGCATTCAAAAGGCTTCTCCCCTGTGTGGGTTCTTAGATGTTTTTGAAGACTGCTACTATGACTGAATTTCTTTGCACATTCTGAGCATTCAAAAGGCTTCTCCCCTGTGTGGGTTCTTAGATGAAGTTGGAGAGTGCCAATCTGACTGAATCTCTTTCCACATTCTGAGCATTCAAAAGGCTTCTCCCCTGTGTGGGTTCTTAGATGTTTTGAAAGAGTGCTACTGTCAATGAATCTCTTCCCACACTCAGAGCATTCAAAAGGCTTCTCCCCTGTGTGGGTTCTTAGATGTTTTGAAAGAGTGCTACTGTCAATGAATCTCTTCCCACACTCAGAGCATTCAAAAGGCTTCTCCCCTGTGTGGATTCTTAGATGATTTTGAAGAGTGGTACTGTCACTGAATCTCTTCCCACACTCTGAGAATTCAAAAGGTTTTTCGCCTGTGTGGGTTCTTAGATGGGTTTGAAGATGGCTACTCTGACTGAATGTCTTCCCACACTCTGAGCACACAAAAGGCGTCTCCCTTGTATGGTTCTTATATGACTTCGAAGAGTGCCACTGCACCTGAATCTCTTCACACATTCTGAGCATTCAAAAGGCTTTCCCCCTGTGTGGGTTCTTAGATGCATTTGAAGGTTGCCACTCTGACTGCATCTCTTCCCACACTCTGAGCATTCAAAAGGCTTATCCCCTGTGTGGATTCTTAGATGATTTTGAAGAGTGCCACTGTGACTGAATCTCTTCCCACACTCTGAGCATTCAAAAGGTTTTTTGCCTGTGTGGGTTCTTAGATGGGTTTGAAAATTGCTGCTCTGACTGAATCTCTTCCCACATTCTGAGCAAACAAAAGGCGTCTCCCTTGTATGGGTCCTTAGATGGGCTTGAAGATTGCTACTCTGACTGCATCTCTTCCCACACTCTGAGCATTCAAAAGGCTTCTCCCCTGTGTGGGTTCTTAGATGCGTTTGAAGAGTGCCACTATGACTGAATTTCTTCCCACACTGTGAGCATTCAAAAGGCTTCTCCCCTGTGTGGGTTCTTAGATGGGTTTGAAGATGGCTACTGCAACTGAATCTCTTCCCACATTCTGAACATTCAAAACGCTTCTCCCCTCTGTGGGATTTTTGATGTACTTGAAGTCTGCCACTGTGACTGAATCTCTTCCCACATTCTGAACATTCAAAAGGCTTCTCCCCTGTGTGGGTTCTTAGATGTTCTTGAAGATGGCCACCACGACTGAATCTCTTCCCACACTTGGAGCATTTAAAAGGCTTCTCCCCTCTGTGGATTCGTTGGTGCACAAGGAGGTATGATCTGTATTTGAAGTAGTTTCCGCACCAAAAGCATTTACATGCATTCATTATACTGTGCTTTGTACAATGTATATTACCTTTGCCTTTGACAGAGAACATCGTTTCACTCCCTGAGCAAATAAATTGCTTCCCTCCTGTATGAATCCTTTGGAGTTGAACAAGGTCTGATATCTTTGAGAATCTGTTGTGATAGTCTGAGCAGCTATAAGGCTTCTCTCGTAAATGTGTTCTTTGATGTCTAAGGAGGTCTGCTCTGCGAATCATGGTCTTTCCACAGACCAGCCGGTGATGGGTCTTCTTTCCAGTGTGCATCCGTAAATGGACATTATACTGGGATGGGTCTGAGAAGTTCATTCCGCCCGACAAGGACTTGTATGTTTCCTTCACCATGTGAATTCCTTCTTGGAAATCCCCCCCTTGGCAAGGAATGGGTTTACCCCTCTTCCTGACCACGTGGCTTCTTTTCTGCCTCTTAGGTCCAACTTGGTTTCTGAAGTTTCCTCTCAAGTCTTCATTCTTGCCTTCATCTGGCAATAGAGGATGCAGTTCCTCATCCTCCTCATTCCTCTGATCATCCCCTGCTGGAATAAAGAACGAGACCCTGTTAGAAACCATTCAAGGAGGTCTGATCTGCGCCTGAATTTCCATCCACAATCCAAATGTTACAGTGGATTCATCCCGTTACCATTTGACTTACTGTGCTTTTTTGACTTTTGATTCTTTGCACTTGACGATTAAATACAAGAGTTTATCAAGATATCCAGTCCTACAACTGCACTGAGAGTTTCCTTCCAGTTGTCAATAGATCCAGGAGGAGCTCATTTTCAGCCTCCCCAAAATACATGTTCTCGGTGGGGGAGGGGGAGCCAGGAGCTTACCAAGTGAACCCCCGAGTTCAAAGGGGACCCCCTTGGTTTTTGGGAAAGGTGCCTTTGGGGGAGGGGAGGTAATAAATGAGAAAACCAACCTCGCATTGTAGTGCCACCTTTCTTAAGGTCAGAGCCATTTTTTTGCTATTTGTGAGCCATTCTCTGCACCTTAGCTGGGCCCGTCTATTGTCTAAAGCACAGCCACGTCTGAATGATGCCGGCAGTTCTCCCTTTCCTAGAAGCAAAGAGTCAGCCAGTCTCTCTGGAAAGAAGTATATCTTATTGTCAGCAAGAGAGAGCCAGAAGACTGATTATCGGGCCTCAAGGTCATGAACTTGTTACAGTAGAGTAAGGCCCTCTGGAACACTGCCTCAGAAGAATATGCAGTGTCAAAAAGTCAAGATAAGACCCCAGAAGAGTCTGTCCTGTTCCTTCCTCCCAAAGCACCTGAAACATGAAGTGACCACTCAGCAAGCATGCAGTTATCCAGGTGTTCAGCATGACCAGGGTGATGTAAGGTAAACAAGAGGAAGTTAGTCTGGCAGACCCTTAGAGCAGTAGAGGGTTCTCACTGTTGTCAACCCTTTTCCTTGGGGACAGGGGGAGAGGGTGCCGGCCAGCCTTGGAGAAAGTGAGGCATCGGGGCACGCTGAGTGGACAGGTATTCTCTGTGTTTGTGCTTTTCTTTGGCAGATGGTTTCCTGCCTCAAGCAGCTGGAAGGGACTTAGCCTTTGGGAAGGAGGTCGCTTGCCTCTTGGGGAGACGGAAGCTGTCTATACACTGCTTTCTCTATCCTGTTGTGGCTCAAACAAACTGTGCTTTAACTGTGAACCTGACTCTGTCTTTACTGGGCTGACAGTTGCAGTGGGAAACTCTTGAATAACACATGACCCCACTCTCTTGGGGTGAGGACTGATTCCCATCACCACAGCAGAGGGTGCTGTGTGATTTGGCGGCAGCCAGTTGCCCTTGGGTGGTAGTGTTAACTGGTGGGACTACCTGCTGCAGGCCACCCCTGCAAGGTAGAACAGCTCCAAAGAAAACCCTCAAACACATCTACAACTAATACTAAGACCTGAAGGCATCCAGGGGACCGCTGTAGGAATGGCTTGGGTGATGCCCACCACACTGGCCATGCTGAAACATCGTTTTCACTGCCACCCCAACTCCTTGAGGCCCCCCCAGTGGGTGAGGGGGTAGCCAGGAAGTCTTAGCAGCCACATGTTGCTGTTCAGTATTTTGATTCATGCATCATCCCAATGGCAGCAATTTGCACCTTTGGCACCTACCCAGAGAGGCCACGCTCCTGTAGTTCTCCAGCATGACGTCCCTGTACAGAGCTCTTTGGCCTGGAACCAGCAAGGCCCACTCGGCCTCGGTGAAATACACGGCCACCTCCTCAAAGGAAAAGGGAGGCTGAAAGGAAAAGCAGAGCCCCTCCTCAGAGATCACTCCAGGCAGAGACTGCACTCTTCACGGGGGCATTCTGGGAGGGTGCAGGACGTAGAGTTTGGCATGTGTCAAGAGAGTGGGGCTCAGAGCCTGTCTCTCCTCGGTCAGCAGGACCAAAAGCCTCCTTGAGAAAGAAGTGGGGACCTGACTATCCCCCATTCTTTCTCCCTACCTGGACCAGAGGTGGAGCAGCCATTTCCGTTCCTCTGAAAAGACGACAGGTTGACAACATCTCTTCACTGCCTGGAAGGGAGACAAAATTGGAAAGATAAATGTTAACCTCAAGTTTCTATTTTGTTTGCTTCTTTGAATTCTGGTTCACCCATCCTCAGGGTTGTGACACCTTGTCTTCTTTACTCAAGAATATTTGTAATGACTTAGTGAGGTGTCGGAGAGGTGGAAGAGAAGCACCAGGTGCCCATGAGCCTTGGCATAAATGCTGCCAACACTTCTGTGGGGCTTGAATATTGCCCTGTGCACCCTGGAGCCAAAGGCTGCAGCATCCCTGCTGGAAGAGGCCAAAAGCGCAGGCAAGCCATTCTCCCACCTGCTGGGGCCTCCCACCCATCCTTGAGTCCGGGTTGGTGGGAGAAAAAGAGGGGACCAGAAATCCTGCTGCATGACACATCACCATCACATCCAGCTCAAAACTCAGATTATTTTTTTAGTGCATCAGCCAAGGCTCTGGAGACTTTAGGGTACCACCAATGGGTTTCCAGGATGCCTGCTGATGCTCTGACTTCACATCCAGGCATTCGGTGAGATGAGACATTGACCTGAAATCACAACTAACCCATGTTCCATCCCCAAACCTCATGAGGGTCCCCGGCCATGGCCTGGCATCCCTGTTCCAGCATCCTCTTTCTCACTATAACCTGCCAGATGCCCCAGGAAAGTCTTTAAGCAGCGGCACAGAACCCACATTATTGCCCCCTAGGAATGCGGTTTCAGAGGTCTGCTGACCCAGAATATGGCAAGGGGTGGGTGGGTTGTAAAGTGCTGTGAAGTCACAGCTGACTTATGGTGAACCCACAAGTTGTTCAAGGCGAGAGACCTCCAGAGGTGGGATGCCACTGCCTGCCTCTGCACAGCAACCCTGAACTTCTATGGTGGTCTCCCTTGCGAGAACCAACCAGGGCTGACCCTGCTTAGAGTCTGAGATCTAAGGAGTCTGGGCTAGCCGCAGCCATCCACGTCTGGGGAATGTGGACGTTCCACTTATTCACCTTGGCTAACAGCTGCACCCAGACTTCCCTTCCTTTCCTCTTTCCGAGCCACTTTGAGACCTTCTAATGGAAGGAAGGGAAGAGAGGCACATTTCAATTAATGTAAAATTGCCCTCTATGAATCTTTCTACACCCCGTTAATGTGGAGTGGCCATCATGACATACTAAGGCACGCTGTCTGAGAACTCCATTCTATGTGGTCTGCAAAAGCATTCCCCTTTTCTCCTGTCCTGAACCTTCCGCCCAACAACTTGACTAGGTGCCCTGATCCCATCTAGGCAGGAGGCACCCGTACCACTTGACAGGGCATCTCGGGCATCCTCCTGGGCCTGCGTCCTCTGACTTTCCTCTGACGGAGCTCCTTCTGTCTCAGAGAGCTTCGCTTCCATCTTCACGGATCGTCCCCACATCTGAAACAAGAACGGAGGCACGTAAGAGAAGGAATGGAAATATCTAGTAAAATATCTAGAGGTAGAAATGTCTAAGAAAAGATGGGAAGAATACACTGAGGAATTTGTCAGAATCCACAGCTGAACAACTTAGTACACGCTTTCAGGAAGGTTTTACTTTATCGAAAAGCCATAGATGCATTAACAAGAACACTGTTAGGAATGGTGGGTTACCCAAGCGCATAATAGGATACAGGGAATTCGTATGCACCCCCCCCCCAGGTAATGGCCAATTACATGGGCACGGGAGACCGGTAGGCCCTTTAACTGCCGCGAAGCTGGGAACTGAGATGCTCCCACAGACTATAGACATCACAAACCCTCTCCAGTACAACATAACAGATAAGCGTTACGGCTGTGAAGCAATTAAGCGCATGGGAAGGAATGAAAACAAAGAAACGACTTCACACCTATGGCAGCTTAGCTGACAGAATTATACTAGGGAGATGAAAGGATGACAGATTTCTTTCCAGAAGAATCTTTTGAAGAAGAAGAAGCAACCGTTTTAGAAAGTAAAGGAAAACTGCACTGAGAGCAATGGGGAGAAACAGATCACCAGCGGTAGATGGGATACGAATAGAAGTATTCCAAGGCACAGAAAAGGAGTCCTTCAAAGTCTTAACAAGAATATGCTAACAAAAATGGAAGACGAAAGAATGGCCCATACTCTGGAAACACTCACTTTACATTCCAATTCCAACAAAAGCAACTACTGGACACTACACCAGTTTGGTGTAGTGGTTAAGTGTGCGGACTCTAATCTGGGAGAACCAGGTTCGATTCCCCACTCCTCCACTTGCACCTGCTGATGTGACCTTGGGTCAGTCACAAGCTCCGGCACAGCTGTCCGTGAAAAAAAGCAGTTTCTGTCAGAGCTCTCTCAGCCCCACCCACCTCACAGGGTGTCTGTTGTGGGGAGGGGAAGGGAAAGGAGTTTGTAAGCCGCTTTGAAACTCCAAGTGAAGGGCAGGGTATAAATCCAATCTCTTCTTCTTCTTCTTCTTCTTCTTCTTCTCATGGGAGTAAAGTGATACTGAAAGTCTTACAATGAACACTGTTACCATAGATGGAATGAGAAATGCCAGGTGCTGAAGCTGGAGAAGGTACTTGTGATCATATTGCAAATTTAGGTTGGTTATTGGAGCGTATGAGAGAATCTTCGAAGAAAACCAGTTTGAGTGGGGGATCAAACACGGTTCTCCAGATTAGAGTCCGCCGCTCTTAACCACTACACCAAACCAGCTCCTATTTGTGGTATTGGAGGAGAGTTTTTATGGATACTGTGGAGCATTCCTGCCAAGGCGGCCTCAGGGGGGCTTACATTAAAAGTTAAAATATAATAAAACAGAGATTCATTACATACAAACGTCTCATAAAATCCATATACAATTCTAGTAACAAGTCACAGATAAACACAATTTAAAGTGCTAGTAGCGATACCTAAAGGCCATGGTGTAGCAGATATAACAGAATATGGCCAGAGGATGGTTACTGTTGACATTGCAGGCAGTTGCTGTTGTCATGCAGGCCCTTATCCTAATTCAATGTTGTTGGTAGCGGCTCCTAATCGAAGGCCGGGTGGAAGAGCTCTGTTTTACAGGCCCTGCGGCATTGTAAAAGGTCCCGCAAGGCCCTGATGCCTTCTGGGAGCTCATTCTACCAGTATGGAGCCGCTACTGAGAAGGCCCTGGCCCTGGTAGAGGCCAATCTGGCATCTTTTGGCCCAGGGAAGGTCAAGCAATTTTGTGACCCTGACCTCAGTGCTCTCTGGGTAACATGTGGAGAAAGGAGGTCCCTCAGGTAGACAGAGGCCCCAACCCATATAGGGCTTTAAAGGTCAAAAACAGCACCTTGAAGCGAATCCGGTATGCTATCGGCAGCCAGTGCAATGCCTTCAGCACAGGCATGATGTGCTCCCGCACAGGGAGGCTCATGAACAGCCTGGCTGTTGCATTTTGCACAGCTGCAGCTTCTGGATTTGCGACAAGGGCAGCCCCATGTAGAGAGCATTACAGCAGTCCAATCTCGAGGGGACCATTGTGTGGATCACTGTTGCCAGGTCATTGCGTTCAAGGAAGGGAACCAACTGCCTGATCAGCCGAAGATGGTAGAAGGCTGTCTTGGCAGTGGCTGCTACCTGGGCCTCCATTGTTTTTTTGTTTTGTTTTTTTAATAAATTTTTATTGTATCATAAAACAAGTTACAAAAAAGTCAAGTACCATAATAATAACAATATTCCAATAATTTTATGTAACTTAAAAAGTCTGAAAAACTACAGTTTTGCTTTTCACATTTCAGAAACATTTAATTCGCTCTGGTATGTCTTGAGAACTACGGTATTCATCTATGTATTTGCCAATATGAAATTGCATTGTGTCTGTATTGCTTATTTGTATAGGAGGTGTAGGATATAACATGCAGTATAGAGTTGTGTTCCATGTTGAAATAGTCTTTACAACCACCTCTGGAATTGCTGCCAGGAAGAGGGCAAGAAATCTTCTGAAGCTAAAAATTCTAATATAGGGTTCCATGTATCCATTATAGGTTTATCTATTGGGTACTGTGCTATCCTGTTCAATTTGTTGGTCACAGAGTCCATAAGAAAATGGTCCCACATCTTTTGGTACCATAAACTCTTTTGGGGGGGATTTGGATCTTTCCAGCAGGTAGCGATTGCTGTGCGAGCAGCGTATATCATCACATCTAGGGTCTGCTTGTGAATGTGCTTCTCAATATGAGGCGGCCAATGTTTGAGAAAGAGATTCTCAGGGTTCAGTGGGATTTCAATACCTATGATTTTGTGAACCATTTGTTTTATGTCCTCCCAGAATTCTGCAATCCGTTCACATTCCCACCAGGCGTGGGCAAATGTACCTAACTTATCACATTTTTTCCAACATTTGGGGGAAATCGTTGGTTGCATGTGTGAGAGACGTTGGGGGGTCAGATACCATCTCATTAAGATCTTAAAGTCCTGTAATTCTAATGGAATAGAACATGGATATGGATTTTTTGTCTCCCATACTTCTTTCCAAAAATTCTGATCA